GCATACTGCAAAAGCAACCAAAGAGTTTTTTAAGGGAAAGAAGTGGAATGTTATGCAATGGCCAAGTCAATCACCTGACCTGAATCCGATTGAGCATGCATTTCACTTGCTGAAGACAAAACTGAAGGGAAAATGCCACAAGAACAAGCAGGAACTGAAGACAGTTGCAGTAGAGGCCTGGCAGAGCATCACCAGGGATGAAACCCAGCGTCTGGTGATGTCTATGCATTCCAGACTTCAGGCTGTAATTGACTGCAAAGGATTTGCAACCAAGTATTAAAAAGTGAAAGTTTGATTTATGATTATTATTCTGTCCCATTACTTTTGGTCCCTTAACAAGTGGGAGGCACATATGCAAACTGTTGTAATTCCTACACTGTTCACCTGATTTGGATGTAAATACCCTCAAATTAAAGCTGACAGTCTGCAGTTAAAGCACATCTTGTTCGTTTCATTTCAAATCCATTGTGGTGGTGTATAGAGCCAAAAATGTTAGAATTGTGTCGATGTCCCAATATTTATGGACCTGACTGTAATTCCAATTCCTGGCCCCTCCAGACCACCAAAATATCATCTATGTTTCGAAGCCACACTGCCAACAATCCTAAAGGATACCAGCCTGTAAATAACCATTGAGTGATCAAGAATAAACTAATTTTGATGAGCTATCTCGGATAAAATAAAAAGTATTCTGCTGCCTTTAAACCCCAGCTATTGGGTATTGATGTGTAAAGGGATTTCACATCAACATCTACTAAGCAGAGGGAAGAGACCATAGTCTTAAGCAATTGGTCAATATATTGACCCATCTTTTTAAGGGGATCTTTCACAGCCCAAACTATTGGTTTTCCTGGTGGGTTAAAGAAATCCTTGTGTAACTTGTGAATAATATACAATACTAGGATGTTATATTAAGATACTTCAAGATGATTTAATTCTTTTCTAGTTAACAAACCTGCCTCCTGGGCTAAAGTTAGCTTAAAATTAAGCTCTTTTACCAAATGTGGGAAGGGAGAAACCGCAAACTTTTTATAGGTGTCTCTGTTACCTAATTGTCTCTTCACCTCCTTGACATAATTATCTTCTACCATTATCACCATGTTGTCCACCTTATCATTCTTTTAAATGATGATACCTTTTGCATTTTTTAATTCCCACAAGGCTCTCCTCTCTTCTTTAGAAAGATTATCTGCCGCATTTACTTCCCAATGAATCACTTTAAGGTTTCCACTCACTCCTCAAGGTCTCCACTCACTAAATAAAAAAAAAAATGGCAAATCCATTTGTTTTTGGTTAGAGGTAACATTTTTTACACTTAATATTTAAATCTACTTGTCTAAGGACTATTGTTTCCTAATCACAGGATGACTCAACATCCAATGGGCCTTCATCCAAGAGGGCTAATAAATAATTTAATGCTCCTTGATCCTCATCTAAGAGGGTCCCAACAGTTGCCTGATTATTATTTTTCTGTTCATATAGAAAGCTAAGCAACTTTACGCAAAAACAAATGGACATCCTTATGGATACATTTTTCCATGTTGTCCTTAGGGGAAAAAGTTAGTCCCGTATTCAATAAACTAAGGGGAAAGATGACAAATTCAATACTTTGATATCCCTCTGTAGGAGGCAAACTTTCACTAGCTAGGTCTGCTTCTTTTGATTTCTGGTCCTGTTTCTTTGATCTAGATTTTCTTTTTTTATACCTCATTTTGTTTTGACTTCTTTCCTGTTTTCAAAATACCCAATCTACCTTGTATAATTCTAGGGAGACAGTGAACTAGGTTAGTTTGTGCTGCCCTTAATAATGGATTATTGATCTTATATATACATATTATTATTATTCCGTGTGTACTCGTTTCACATTGCAGAAAAAATCTTGAACCAGAAAGCGTGCACTCCTGAAAAAGAGATATTCAGTCTCAAAGCGCATGTGAGGTTGCTTGATGTTCTTCATGCTTTAGGTTCTGTTGATTTGTACAATATGAATATATTTCCTCCTCCATTTGGTCACTTCCTCATAGATATGTATTGTTAATTTTATGTGATGTTTTTATATGATCTGTAATAAAATTTATTGTTTTACTATACAAAACAAGGCATTCTTTGGACATTTCGCTGCACTATAGACTGTAATAAAAGTATACTTAGAGGGCACCACTTTATTTATATGTAGCATTTGGTATGACTGCAGCCTCAGATTTCCTTACTCCATTGTACTTCTTCATTATACAATCATTGGTTGGGAGGATTTGGACTAAGAGAGAAAGAGGCAGCGCTGTATGTCAGTGACCCTAAGCTACAATGCACAGTGAACAGAGAGCATGCTAATAAAAAATAGCATAGCTACTTTATTAGCCATTTTTATGCTGGATTAGACTTTGACCAAGGTGTATTATTTTAACTATAGTAAACCAATGTAGGGTCATGACCTGGCTTTGCTGTCTTGCAAGTGGTTTGAACAAAATTACCATTTTAATTAGCAGGAAAGACAATTAATACATATGTATTTCAACTGGGGTTTTAGCTGTTTGCCTGCACTTTCAAATTAAAGAATGTTAGATGTTGTATATGCTATTTTTATGCCCAGATTTTCTCCAGATGCCAAGCACAGAAATATTTCAACAGAATATTAGGTTCTTGATATAAATCTGTAACAAGAAAGCATAATTTTGAGAACTCCTAACAAGAAAACAATGTACTATAGTAAAACACAGATGAAAATAATGGCCTGTTCTGCTCTCTCTCTCTAAGATACAGTTTATATGAGATTTTTTTTTTTGCAACACTGACATTATGTCCACTGTTAGACTCTATTTCTACATCTTAAAGCTAAGAAAATGGTAATTTTGCTACCAATTAAGTTGTTATTCCGAAAGACAACTGTTTAGATTGGAAAAAAAAACAGCTGGTGGCCATTTCTTTTCTCATCTCCAATTGTGTGCATGTTCTTTCTTGGCAAGGAAGCAAAGACATTTCTTCACATAACTGGTAAATTTACCTTTTCTATACAAGTAGTATATTTCCCTAGATAATTTCTCTTACATTCCAATAAAGTCATTTTTTTTTTGCTGAACTTTTCTTTCAGGCTAAGCAGCATCTATTTCAGAGAAGCTTGCTCCTGTGCTGCTGACTGCAAGAAACATCATTATTTCATTTATAGTGTGAACAAAATACAACACTTCTCAAAAAATATCATGTTTATGTTATTTTGTCTTGGATTGCAGTAATATAGACTACATCATATAGTATACTGTAACTGAAAAAGAGTTATAGGCCTCAAACCTATTTACAGAGTAGGAGTGGAATATTGTTTAGTTTTGTTTTGAATTTTAGGAGTTAGTAGAAGCAAATGTTAGCAGAGATCAGGCCAAAATATTTATTTTCTCCCTAGCTACATACAGAGGTTAAAAAAAAATTATGGAAACACCAGGTAAAAGAACAAAATTATTTGACCACCTTTGGCATCCAAGATGGCCTGAATTCTCCCGGGAATTGACAAATAAAAGTCTTGGATGGTGGATTATGGAATGTCTTACACTTCTTCATGCAAAAACTGCTCCCGTCCTCGCAGGGATGCTGGAGGCGGAAAACAAACCCAATCCTTGCTCTCCAAAATTGACTATAGTGGCTCCATGATATTGTGGTGTGGTGACTGTGGCACCCAAGGAAGGTACAAGACTTTGTCTGCAAAATTGCCAAACCATGATTTGACAACACCAGCTGTGTGAATCAGAGCATAATCGTCTTGGTAAATGGCGCTATCTTTGGGAAACAAAGTCTGCACTGTGGGGTGCACAAGGTCAGCCAAAATCTATACATAGTTGATGACAGTGACTCTAGCTTTAAGGTGATGATGAGGCCTGCATAATACCAAGATATGGTTGCCCAAACCCTGATAGCTGCCACCACAAGACACAAGACACTGTCTTGGCACAAGAGAGTTCTGGTTGTAAACTTGCAGCAGTGTTCGCCACACATAAACATGTCCAGTGGTTGGGAACAGTGTGAAGCTTGATTTATCGGACCATATTACAGTCTTCCATTGCTCGATAGTCCATGATTTCTGGGTGTTTCACCACTCTCTCCTCTTCAGAGCATTAATATTTTATTTATTTATTTCAGGTACTTATATAGCACCATAAATTTACGCAGTGCTTTACATATATATATATATATATATATATATATATATATATATATAATGTACATTCACAATGGGTCACTAGTGGTTTGGCAATTGCAGCTCGCCCATGAATGTTTTGTTCCCTCTGTACAGTTTTTGTGGACACAGGCTTTGGAGGACTGAGATTGAGCTCTGCAGGCACTTTTGCAGCTATTGTTTTCTTACAAGTACACAGTACTGCAGAATGTACTTTTGTCTCTTTCTACTAAGTGACTATGTTGACCCTTCTTATGATGAGGTTTTCCTAGAAACTGTACATGTAGTCGTAACTTTTGATACTGTACCTCATGAAACCGCAAATAAATTGGCAACTTCAGTCACAGAGGCACCAGCTAAGTGGACACCAACAATTTGTCCTCTTTGAAACCGCAAATAAATTGGTGACTTCAGTCACAGAGGCATCAGCTAAGCGGGCACCAACAATTTGCCCTCTTTGAAGCTCAGTAAGCTCTGACATGACTCTGTATTACTAACAGTAAACTCAATGAATGACAAAAGTGAGGCTTCCCACCTGCTGTGTCTCATCACACAGCAGAAGCAAAAAATATTACATAACCTCTGCTTTCAGGGCAAAACATATTGTCACTTTCACACCTGCAAATCATGTTTATATATTTTTGTCCAACCCCTGTATCTTTATATTGATGCAAATGTTCTCTATGTATATATATAGCATGCCACTAGTTCTTTGACATAAATAGGGGTGTGTGAGATGGGGAAACAGCTCTCATTGTTTGAACACTGTTTGTGTGGAAGTAAATTAATATTTTGACTGACATTCTGTGGTTTAGCCACAAGATGTCACTGTTTTATTCATGAAGAGGTGGGGTTTTGCACACAGAGTTGGAGAGAACAGGAAGGAGAGAGAGAAGCCATGTTTTGGAGCATGGTGTATAAGGGGCCGTGTGAGCTGAGAATCTGATGACATCCAGGTGTGAAAGCATCCCTCAGTAACCAGAGATTGCTGCCAGGAAGCTGATGAGATTGCTGCCAGGAATGCTGATGAGATTGCTGCCAGGAATGCTGATGAGATTGCTGCCAGGAAGCTTATGAGATTGCTGCCAGGAATGCTGATGAGATTGCTGCCAGGAAGGCTGATGAGAGCAGAGGAACTAAGCAACATATACGGCAAGACCGCATGCTTGTTGGAGAGACATTTGTTCTGTTCAGAGTCACCAGCGGATGCAAAGCAGACCCGGGTCGGTAAGATCGTGCACACACCTCATTTCAGTGTTGGCACCTAGAGACTGAGTCCAGGCCTATAGTTAGTTAGTTAATGTCTCTGCTTGTGTCAGGCCACAAGTGTTGTTACTGATTATTGGAAGGACTCCACAACTTAAAGGGACATTTCACATTGGAGAGCTGATAAAATCCTACAAACTCATGCCAGACTGGCATTTTGCTCAGAAGGAATACTCAGGCACGTGCTACAGGACCAGTTATGGGAGGGGGAATACTGTAGATTTGTGTAAGATTGTAAGCTGTTGTGCTGCACCGCAGGCTAGCCCATACTGTACACCCATACACTGATTCCTGCTCTTTTAGGGTAATAACAGGTAAGGTGTGGCAGCTTATTTGTGCCCGCCAGTAGGTAAATTACTTCACTTTCTACCTTCATCTATCAGAAGGTGACATGCTGTGCAGCACAAGGTTCTCAGCCTTTGGGCTGGGTGTATGTAAATTTATTGTATGTTTCCAGCATTTGTGGTTGTGTTTATTTGCCACATCTAAGTAAAATTCTGTTGTGGCAAAATCTGGTGTTGGGGTTGCATTCCTCGTTCGTGACTTCACTGTATCCTGGGGAGCCCACCCCGGTACACGGCTTACAGGTGCAGTGTAAAAGTGATCCTTCATTTTCTGTTGCTGTACTTATTTAAAGTATATATATATATATATAGCTAAATTTCATTTTATTTTTTATTTTTTTTAATAGAGTAAAGATTCGTTTAAACCCCTAACAATGTATTTTTTCTGTCTGTGTCCCACTGGGAGATTTCCCTTCATTTTATGTTTTGGATATGCAGCAAGTTAAAGGAAATCTCTACAAAGTGAGGGAAATCCTCCTTTTAGACAGTTGTCATTGAACAACTGTCCCAGTGACACTAGTCATCTAAACTAGAGGGGACACACACACAGCTTCCTTGGTGCTAATCCTTGTCTATACTATCCCATACTTCCAAAAAAGAGTTTGCCTCTACATACAGTACACATACACTTTATCGTGTTGCATCAGCTCATGTTTTTCATCTTTAGATTTATTTTACAGCTGTTTTTCTTCTGTAAACACTGGGATCTTCTGTGTCATGTCAAAATTAGAGTAATGACAGTATCCTAGGAATTTAAAGATGAAAAAAATTCAATGATTTCTTTTTAATTAACCACATAAGTAAACAGCAATAATAAGATGTCTCCCGTTTACCCATTAGTTACCTGGAATTAGCATTATCAGATTATACTTGTATTAACCAGTAGGTATATAAAAGATTTTTTAAAAATTGAAAAGTTAAAAAAAAATTTTAAAAAAGTTTTTTTTTTAGCATGCTGTCACCAGTCAGTCACCAGTCAGTCCTTGATCCCTGATGTAATAAAATTGTGGAAAAAGAAAAAAACAAATTTTATTTAATTTCTTACTTTTCCATGCCTCTTGCTAAATACCGTTTAAGGACTTCAAGAAATGAGATAGGCCTTTGGTACATCAGGATTGATCAATTTTTAAATACAGTGTATATCATAGACTCTATAACTTTCACACAAACCAATTAATAGACAAATTTGATTTTATTGGATATGCCTTAGAACAGACAGTAGAAAATATTTTTTTTCAAATTTTGTCTTTTTTTTAATTTACTGTATAAAGCAAAAAATAAAAACCCAGTGTTGATTAAATACCACTAACCGAAAGCTCTATTTGTGTGAAAAAAATTATATAAATTTAATTTGTGTACAGTGCTGCATTACCGAGCACTTGCTAGTTAAAACAGCACAGTATGGAATAGCAAAAAATGGCCTGGTCATGAAAGGGGTAAAACCTTCCATCAAGTGGTTAAAGCCCCCAATTCTTCCAGGGCACTTTTGCGATCATATTAAATAAGTAACAGTGAAGTGGCGAGCGTGTGACCAGATATGATTGTTGCACCACATCCCTTAAAATTGCAAATATTCAATAGAGAAGATGTGACTTTCAGGGTTGTAATGACTTTTGGAACTGTTTATTAAAAAAATTTATATTATCCCAAATTTGGGAATCCCAACTGAGTGTTAGGGGTTAACATTCTAGAGTGAATTTCAAGTGAATTTCAAGTGACCTTCCAGGAAGCTATCACACACAATGAGTGGAAGAAACTGGTCTAAGAGACAATGAGATTCAAACACCACTATTTGGATGTCTGCAAGTGAATATACACCTGGACCCAAAATGACAATGGGGAGAGAAAATCCTCATTGTCTTATCTCTCACAAAACCTTGGGAAGTGTGTGATTACCAAACAAAAATTCTTGAGCTGTCACAAAAGACTATTGAATACTGAGGTTTAACTCCAGTCCAGTCTGTTTACCCTAATTACCCGACAAATTTCCTATGTCACATCTCCTTGAACTGTATATGCGGTATAGGGTGAAACATGGGTCATTTAAGATACAATGAAAAATGTGGTTTAAATCAATGGAAATATTATCAAGGTATATTTCCACACACCAAAATCTATTCAACAAAGTTGGGTATTGCATCCCACTCAACTGAAGTTTGAAGTGATAAAGAGAGGTGGTTTGTGAATAAGGTAATGTCTGTATTTCCAAAAGAAATCAGCCATTCCAATACAGTTCAGGTATCAGAAAAATGAGAAACAAATATATTCACATCTTTCTATGGTCCTTATCCAAGAGTTAGTAGTGAAATCAACTATACTTGAATAGGACATATATTTGATACATCAAGACATATTGTTTCTATCAAAGGATGAATTCATCATTAAGACCACCAAGTCATCTGTAATACCTGACTGTCCCCAGTGGATAAGTCAAGAACATCTCTAGGTACGCAAACTGTTCAACCGTCCAATCAACAAGTCTGTTGGGCGGTCCATTGGAACAAAGGGCCTGTATGGTTTAAATGGCCAGACATCTCAAAGTAAAAAATCCATTTTTCCATCTAAGCTGAATTTCTTCCAAAGATCTGGAACTCTACAACTCTTCTAAATCTACAATCCATCACCTTCCAAGCTTCCAATCTTCTGATCTGCTAAAACTTCTGCAACAGCTTCTAAGACTGCTATAACTTCTAAACTATCTCTTATCTACCCTGTTTCTACTATATACTGCACTATAGCACACTTGCTACCTGTGGACATTTTGCTGAGAACTTCCAGCTGCCATTTTGAAGGAAAAGATTTCCACTAGAGACGCTGAGGCTCAGTTGCCCAGAAAGACTTCTTTTTCCAACTGCATCCCTTTGGGGAGCCCTCAAAATCAAGATTCTGGGAGTGGTGAGACTGTGCTAGAATATTGTAACTTTCTTTGACATTTCAAATTTGCTAAAGACTTAACTGTTTGAATATTGTATTGAGGTTATATATTACATACTAACTAATTTGTAGTGTTGTGTGGTGCAAATTATCAGAGATACTTTCTTTTTTCTCTATGGCCACGAGAAATGAGAAATAATATCTGAAGCACTATAAGGTTACAACTAATTCCTCAAAATTTTATATTTCTTTTAAATTGAAATCATATATTGTTGATAATATAGAAATTAGCATATTATATTTTTGATTGTGTGTACAAGTATATTCATCACCAGTATTTTGCGTTTGTATTAATATATATATAAATTTTGTACATAGATAAATTTATTTATTTATTTATCAAAAAGACAAATTTTGTGTATATGGTACGAAATCATATTGGTAAAAGGACTCAAGGTATATTATTAAGTGGTGATCAAATTATTAAGGTGTCCAAATTATTGGTTCATTAAATATTTGCCATATTCTAACGGCTGGAGGCACTGCAATATTTTGTTTAAGGGAGAGGACACCGTCCTAAATATTTAGAATAAATTCTTACATAAACCACCACAGGGTGCATGAACATGAATACCAAACATATTAAAAAGTTATATAATTTTTATTTCCTATTTTTGTAAAAAAACTAAACAAGAAATGAAAAAATACAGAAACATAAAAACAATTTCAGTTTCAAGAATACAACTGAGATTCAAACTTGGTTATGTAATTGTAGTTACTCCCTACATATTTCGCTCTCATGGGCTTCTTCAGGGGAGATTTTTTTGAAGAAATTTCTACCGCCAAGGCAGTCTAAAAAAAATCTTAATTGACCTACACGTCCAAAACAGTTGTAGAGGATATAATGGGCATCAAATATCATCTAGGCATAATGGAATAGACAAAAAAGAAATTAATTAAATTTAACGGAAGATATGAAGAGATCATAATTCAATAGGTTAAGGTTAACTTTGGGTAAATTTTACCTGTTAAATGCTTTAGAAGGATATATAGGCATAACCTAACAAAGATCTAATTGACCTATACATCCACAACCATAGGAGAGGAAACAATGGACTTCAAACATCCATCTAGACATAATAGGATAATTAAAGGGATCAGAAACTAATTTAATTTCAAACAAGAAATCAAGAGATGTTAATTAATAAAAAATAAACGTAAGCAATTTTACCTGTTGAAAATTGCAGAGAAATATAAAAGTGTATTCTGTCTAAAGGTCTAATTGGCTTATAATGTCCAAAAAAGGTTGAAGAATATAATGGGCATCAGATATCCATCTAGGTATAACGGAATAAACATAGGGGAATCAAAAGATTAATTTAATTCCAAAAAGGAATATAAGGAAAGGGTTATAAGTTAATGAAGGGTTAAAGTTAACTAAACCGATTTTACCTGTTAAATACTGCAATTCAAGTAGCAAGGAAAATGTGGGGAAAAAGGATTTTAATTGAAGATCAATTTCCAATTGTAGGTGTCAGCAAAGGACATCAGTCCAGACAATATTAGCTGAAAAAACTATCACTACTGTAAGGATGCAATATAAAGCAAGCCCTCAGGTGACAGAGACGTCACCATTTTCTTGAAGCCCACCCATTGAATAGAACAATCTAAATACCTTCGTTCAGATCCAAAACAGCCTCCAAGATACTCAGTGTGCACTGGTGATTAGCAGA